ACTTGTGCTATGACTTTTACTTTTTACTCGTGTCGTTCTTCGTCCTTCTTTGTCGCTTTATGGTCACCCCATTGTGTACAAGGATTCCGCTAAGCTTTTGGGGTTGATTTTTGACACTCGTTTGTCTTGGTCGCCCCATATCTCTTACCTCCGAGTTGAATGTTCTAAGGCCATTACCCTCCTTCAGGTGTTGTTCCATACTTCTTGGGGAGTGGATAGACGCACTCTCCTCGCTTTACATTCCTCTCTCGTCCTGTCTAAACTCGATTATGGTTCTTCTGCTTTCTCATCTGCTTCTCCTCCTACTCTTCGCCGTCTTGATGCTTTGCACCATACCGGGTTGAGCCTCAGTTCTGGTGACGTTCGTTCGACTCCCGTCTTCAGCTTGTATGTTGACACTGGCTTCCTATCTCTCCAGGACAGCCGTGATCGCTACTGTCTTTCGTTATCTTGCGCGGTCCTTGCAACATCCTTCCTCTCGCCTCTGTCGTGCTTTAACTTTTACCCCTCCTGTGGTTCTTGTTCCTCTTCAACACCTCCCTCTTTCTGTCCGGTTATCTCGCTTACAGATCAAATAAAAAATCAAATCGAATATTTATTCAGGTAATGTACATACAAGGCGAGATACAAAACATTAATGGATTTATAAATAGAGTTAGTAAATACAATGCCTAAAGCCACTATTATGCAAAGCGTTTCGGGCAGGAAAAACACTAATACTAAAACTTAATATTAATTGAGATTAAAGTATAAATTGTGTTGAGAAAATAAAAAAATAAGAAAAAAAGGGGGGGGTAACATGGCAGAAAAAATAGCAATTATACAATTTGGTCAACAAACAGCATTGTTTAAAATAGTAGACATGGGTTGACATTTTAGGGGTGAGGTAGGTTACAAGGAGATAATTAGGTAGTACCTAGTTTTCATCTTAAACTGGTTGGGAGAGGTTCAGTCTTTAACATGATTGGAAGGTCATTCCACATTCTGGGTCCGTTGATTTGTAAAGCATTTCTAGTTTGATTAAGTCGTACTTTTGGAATATGAAATAGGTATTTGTTTCTGGTGTGGTGCTCCTGGGATCTGTTACAACCTTTTAGGAAGGATTCTCTTTCAGGATTCAGGACAGGATTCTCTTTCAGTTCGTATTTCTAATATTTCTCCTCATGTTGTTCCTTCTTTGCCCCCATGCAGAGTCCCCCCTTCCGGAGTCCCCCCTTCCGCAGTATTGTACATCCTTAACCCGCATCACTAAAACTTTTACCCCTCCTACAGTTCTGAAACCCCTTTTCCTCGAGCATTTTTCTTCACACTCCCGTTCCGTTTCCATCTTCACCGATGGGTCTAAGTCTGCGGACAGTGTAGGCTACTCTGTTGTTTTTCCTGGTAGCACTTATATGTGTCGCTTACCTCTGGAGACTAGCATCTTCACAGCGGAACTTTGTTATTCTCTATGCTCTTCGTCTCCTGCTTTATCATTGCCAATCTTCCTTTGTAGTTGTCGTTGACTCTCGTAGTTCTCTCATGGCTCTCGGGTCCTTTAATGTTCATCCAGTGGTTGTCAAGATACAGCATTGACTGTTTCTTATTCACAGTAAATTTAAGTCGGTTGAGTTTTGTTGGGTTCCCAGCCTTATTGGTGTCTCTTTAAATGAGTGTGCGGATGCTGCCGCCAGGGAAGCTGTCCTCTCTTGTCCCATCTCTCGTAAAAATATTCCTTATTCCAACTTTTACCCAGTTATTCATTCCTCCATCCTTACCCGTCGGCAGGCTTATTGGTCTTCTGTTACTAGTAACAAACTGCATACTCTTAAGGGTTTTGCGTCCTCATGGCCATCCTCTTGCCACCGTAACCAACGGTGGGAAACGGCTCTAGCAAGGTTGCGTCTTGGCCATACTCGCTTAACTCACGGTCACTTAATGGAGCACTGCCCAACTCCTTTATGTCCAAATTGCATTGTCCCTCTTACGGTCGTGCATATCCTTGTTGAAAGTCCTGACTTCCAGGATGAGCGTGTGTTTTGCTTTCCATCCGTCCCACGCGATCACTTGTCCCTCGATAGAATTCCTGGTGAATTGGATACTTTTGATATCGTTCGCCTTGTGCGTTTCTGTTCTCGTATTGACATTCTTGGTGATATTTAGCGCCCTCTGATTATTGCGCACATTTGATGGTGCTACATAGCCTTCCTGGTTTGGTGCCTTCTATTGATTACTTACTTACTTTTAACATTTCTAACCAGTTGGACGAATTCTTGTTCTAAACTGACTTCCCCATTCTTTATCTTTTTGTACAAGCTCTCTTTCTATCTATAAGGTTCTTCAGATCCTTTGTTATTCATTTTGGGTCATTAGTATTCGATCTATTCAATTTGTATGGTATTACACATAAGGGGCATCACTGGCCGATCCCTCACAGTGTTCAAGAGAGAACTGGATACAAAGGATACCTGATCAACCAGGCTGTGACTCATTCAGGCTGCGAGCAGCCGCGTAGCCTGGTTGATCAGTAGGCCTGGTCGACGACCGGGCCGCGGGGACGCTTCAAGGTAACCTCAAGGTATACGTTCCTGTGCTTTGCTTAGAATATTTTTAAATAAGTTATAATTTGAATCCACATCGAAATCCCTTTTTACATCTTTCGTCACTGGGTTCGCGTCTCGCTCCAAGACTGGCACACTCCCCATGCCCATGATTTGCCAATCTATTTAACCCAACAAATTTCTTACACTATTAAAATCAGCTTTTCGAAAATCTGGCACTTTAACAGAATTTTTCGCTACAAATCTACTGCATTCTATACTAAATCTAATTTGTGTGATCACTGGTCCCTAGCTCACTCCTTATTACGATGTAATTTGTTTCATTGTTAGTTAATATGAAGTCTAAAATATTATTTTCCCGCGTTGGTTCCGCGTTGGGTGCATTAGGTTGGTGTTGGAAAAGTTGTTCAATGTCAACCAATATTATTTGACTAGTTGTATGTGAAAAGTGCTGAAATTGTCCCAAGTTTCAGTACTGCAGCATAAATAGAAAGGGAGATTTTTTGTTTTTTTGTTTTTTTCAACGTTTTTTACACATTTTCAAGTCCACACTTCAGAACACACGTTTCAGATATAATTATTCTGTGAGAATTTTCTGACACATTAGCATATAATAAAAGATTGCATGTTGTAGAATTTCCAAAACATCTTTAGTTTTCCTAATACAAATGTTCAAAGTTCCCCCAAAAAATTATGCAAATATGGCATGTTTATTGCTATTATAAAATCAATAAATGAACTTAGAGAAAAATGAAAACAAGCAAATGTAGAGACATGCCCTCCACATATACTGTGTAAGTTTCATGTAAATTGAATAAAAAACGAATCAGTTTTGTAAACGTTTGTGTCAATTGAAAAAAAAAAAAGAATAAAGTCTAAGGTTCTAAAATCTGTGGCTGAGGTTGACATCAACCAATTTTCTCCAAAATTGGCATCCTTACAGATAGGCTTACGTACAGTCAGGTGTGTAAGTTTGATGCAAATCGCCCGAAAAAAATATTTAAAAAAAAAAATACATTTTTTGTTTTTTCTTAAAAAATTTTTCCAATTAAACTAATTATAATATTTATTTAATATATGCTATTGTGATAGCAAAGAGTCATAGCTATGATTTCAGTTGACACTTTTGATTGATAATCGATTTTGACCATTTTGGCATAATTTTCACAACTACTTCAATATTTTTTTTCCTCCCTTCCTATTTATGCTACGATGCTGAAACTTGGACCAGATGAAACACTTTTCATATAGAACTTGTCAAAAAAGTTTGATTGAAATCGAACGAGTTTTCATTTATTGCATTTTTGGAACCTGATGCCCCCTTAATGTGTTGCTCAAGAAAGCAATCGTCAATTAATTCTAGAAAATCTTCTGCTTCATTATTCAATGTTTTTTTAAACCAGTTTATTCCACTAAAATTAAAAGTCCCCCATGACACAAATACTGCTAGACCTAGATGCTCTAGATATTTCATCATAGGTTCTTTGTTTCCATTCTGTCTAAATTTGGTGGCCTGTATATAACTACTATTAAAAGATTGTTTGCTTTTTCGTTTAATTCTAGCCAAATTGTTTGTGTGTGGCTCAGTTTTGATTCCCTCTTTGAGACTACATTTCAAATTTTCCCTTACATATATGGCTACTCCCCTCCTCGTCTAATATATCTATCTGTATGAAATAGTTTAAATATATTTATTTGATATTCAGTTAATAGTTCTTTATTTTCTACATTCATCCAAGTTTCGGTAAGTTCAGTAATATCTCTCTTTTTCTGTGCAGACAAGAGCATTTAAATAGTTTATTTTGTTTCTTAGACAAAAAGATTACTGTTATATTATTATTTTATAATATGTTTATTTTATATTATTACTGTTCGTGTAATATACCCTAAAGTGTATTGCTATTTTGAGGCCCTTCTCTTTCCCTGTTCATTTTACCAATTTGTTTTCCCCACAAACACATACTTTTATTACCTCCTTTCTCCATATCAATTCCCACACCACTATCTACTAACAGTTTAAACCCAAACAAACGCCTCCAACCACCAGTTCCAACGAGTTTGCAGCAACAACCACCCCAGCCCTGATAGATGCACCCCATCCCGAGCATACATGTCATTCCTTCCATAGAAGTGTTCCCAGTTATCTATGAATGATATTGCATTTGATTTGCAATATTTGTCCGGTCGGCAATTGACACCAAGTGCCCTCGACAACCATTCATTTCCAACTCCCTTTCTTGAAAGAATGCCACACATGATCGGGATTCCTCCCTTATTCCTAACTAATTCTATGGATGTCTTAAACCTCTGTATCAGCGCCTTACTCCTAACTTGCTATCATGTTCCAGGACAACAAACCCTTAACCTGTTCCCCCCCCTATCTCTTGTCACAAGAAGTTGTATCCAAATACCTCGAAGGGGCTCTCCCACAATCAAAATTAGCTTAGGCACTTCCTTTACTTTCTGAGTACCTTGAGGGACCTGCGTTTCCTTCTCTTTTGAGCGAACTGCAGGCTCCTCACAGCACTCCTCCTCCAACATGGCGAATGAGTTTATAAGTCCTTAAGATATCTGCAGGCGGCTTTGTCAAAGTCTTCTAAAGACCCCTGTCCTTTACGACATTCCAAGACAAGGTATTTTTAATACTGGTCTCCTCTGTTTCTTCTTGACGTTTCAGCTGTCGTACCTCCCCCCGTAGGGAATCAACTCTGTCCTCAGCGCTCCACATAGATTCATCAGTTCCTTCACTACAACTTTCATTATTACTATGATAGCACAATCGGAACTCCAGGTAACACGAGCTCGTTGGTTTATGGTAGACACAGGTAGACACATTACTGGACGTGTAGACGCAGGACGTGTAGACGCAGGACGTGTGGACGCAGGACGTGTGGACGCAGGACGTGTAGACGCAGGACGTGTGGACGCAGGACGTGTAGACGCAGGACGTGTAGACGCAGGACGTGTGGACGCAGGACGTGTAGACGCAGGACGTGTGGACGCAGGACGTGTAGACGCAGGACGTGTGGACGCACGACGTATAGACGCACGACGTGTGGACGCACGACGTGTAGACGCAGGATGTGTGGACGCAGGACGTGTAGACGCAGGACGTGTAGATGCAGGACGTGTGGACGCAGGACGTGTAGACGCACGACGTGTAGACGCAGGACGTTTAGACGCACGCCGTGTAGACGCACGACGTGTAGACGCACGACGTGTGGACGCACGACGTGTGGACGCACGACGTGTAGACGCACGACGTGTAGACGCAGGACGTGTAGACGCACGCCGTGTAGACGCACGCCGTGTAGACGCAGGACGTGTGGACGCAGGACGTGTGGACGCAGGACGTGTGGACGCAGGACGTGTAGACGCACGACGTGTAGACACAGGACGTGTTGACGCAGGACGTGTGGACGCACGACGTGTAGACGCAGGACGTGTGGACGCACGACGTGTAGACGCACGACGTGTAGACGCAGGACGGTACACATTACAAAACACAGGATGACACATTACAGGTTTGATGAAATTTGAAGACTATCTTTTATACCTTTATCATAGGCTATTACTTTAACTCTGTGACCAAAGCCTAGTTCACTGGTATTGTCACAAGTCTCGGTTCATTGTCCTGTTACATTTATAGCAATATAGAGTATTCTGTAAAATATTTAAATTCAGCTGGTAATAGATGTATATTTATTTTCATAATTGATAATGCACAGTATTATGTACAGAAATGTGAATAAAGTTGTGATGAATTTAATGCGAATATTTTTGCAGTGTCTTTTTATCATATTTATGGTATATTTACAGCTGTATGCTGGTGTTCCCTGTTAAGTGGAGTATAATGGAAGACTTCAGGGTTTTAACGCTGTTGAAATTTGTGAGTCTCGGGGCGGCAGATTTGGCTCTCTTCCCAGCCTCTTAGTCTTCTCTTGCCTCACATAATACGGACGATTCATTCTCTACATCCAACACTATTAAAGAATTAAGAATATTGCAACCATCATCAGCTTTGTAACAAACTAGTGGGCGCTGTTCCCTCCGTCGCAGTGAGAAGTTGGCTTTCCCCACCACGCAAAAAGTATCGCCCCCACCTGCGGGCCATCTATTGCATAAGGCCCGGGCAGGGTAAAATATACTACACTAACATTCCACTGTGCCAGCAACATGTAACAGGCTCCAGGAAGCTTCTCTACTGGCACACACTCGGGAAATGTCTACGTAACAGCACCAGGAAACATTGCTCCTGCCACGGCACGTCACAGGACTTGAGCGGACTGTGTCATGCCTCTGCCTTCTGCATATTACCTTAGTTGGTTAACCATTATAAATGTGAGTATTTCTCGGCTACTGGTTTACGGGTTATTCATGCCCGTGCCACCTCTTGGGTGGCTCAATTTTCTTAGTCAATCGGGTTTTGGTGTTGAGTCAGTGATTGTCACCACACAGGCAACACTGATCAGGTAGGGTTATCCTGCTTTATATGTGTTTGGGAGCATTATTAGTGTGGTGACATAATTACCTATTAATAACACCTTGTGAGTGTTGTGTATCGAGACATTTTGCGTCAATGTGTAAAATCAACCTTGTAGCCTCGGGGTAGTTAAGCCAGATTTTAAAGTTATTCATTCCCTTCAAATTGTTATTCTTAATGATTTATTCCATGCCAGCAACGGATGAGAGCAGTGGTGTCATGAGCCGCCAGAATATAACAGTAATACAATACTGAAACTAATAAATATAAATAATCGCTAAGGTCTTACTCTGCACACAGTGATGTTTAATGTTGTATTTGTTATAATGTGCTGGTTAGTGCTGAGCCTCGAGCTGCCTCCGCTAGTTGTGGGGTACAAGCAGAGCCCTTGAGACACACTTTAGTGCAGTAATACTTCTAGAAAGAGAGAGAGAATGCGAGCCCAAAAGAGAGCGAGCAAGCGAGCAAGCAAGCAAC